TATTAAAGTTAAGCGCTATTTAAAATTTATTACTACGTATATAAATGTCTTATATGTTTAGTGTGTTTGGTAAGTCCTTGTTTCCTTTTATTTCCTGTATTTAGAGTGGTTACGTATACACCTCTGTAAAATTCACGCGTGGCACAAAACTTAGTAGGGAAAGAGACAGAGAAAGCAATTAGGTAAACTGAATGAAAAAGGTGTGGATACGAGGAAGTGAGAAGGTAGAGAAGAAGGGAGAATTTGGACATGGCGGTAGTGGCCGAGGGATAAGACTGGAGTAGAGTCACAGGGGCTAGGGAGAAGTAGGCCTAGTGGATGAAAGGGGGAGAAAAGCTAGGGAAGTGAAAGATGGTAGAGGTGACAGAGAAAAGAGTGTAGATGGGGAGAAAGGGCGGCGAGTAGACGGACATGGAGAAGGTGAGGGAGGGAATCATAGAAGGGCGGGAGCATGTGTAAAGATGGAAGGTTAGGGATGAGGTGCTGAAATGGTCTGAAGGATAGGAGGGAAAAATGAAGTGGCGAATGAGAAAGAGTATAAATATAGAGTAGGTAAAAAAGAGTTCGCTACACCCTTGAACCAATTAATAAAATTTTCTTTTGGCAGTCTAGGACACGTAGTAGCGGGGCAGATAACAGAAAAATCGTGTAAATGATGATACAAGCATCAAACTTGGCACACTTGTTCTCCAAGTGATACTATGCAAATCTGCCTGATTGGCCAATTGAAAATCCAAGATGGCGGGCATTTTTCAAGATGGCCGACAAATTAGCCTCCAGAATGTGACGTTTTGCTTAGAAGTATTTGTAGTTGTCCGATTTGCATGATCTAGGTGTGGATTCCTATGTTTTCAAGCCTGCTGAAGTAGATTTTCCTGTGTATAAAGCTCACAGACACATATTTTTCTCACTTTGCACATTTTTTATGATTTCATACGTTTGCATGGCTATGGGGTGTAGGGGTGTAGTGATAAAGGTAGTACCTTTGTTTCAGCAGTCAGCCATATCCATTGGATGGACTACTGGCACTGGTCCTCACCACTGGCCCAACTCTCATCTATGGCTCCAAGAAGATGCTAGTGCATGGCATCGGCCACACCCTGGTAAACCGCGTTGACTCGCGAGCTAAACTAGATGAGGGTAGCACACAGAAGGTCTCTGCGTGCGATGGAGTACATCTCGCTCCAAAACTTTCAAGTGCATGAAGTTGATGAAGTTCTTGAAGGAGTGATTGTCGGGCACTACCAAGGCACATTGGTGACATCACTGCTGTGAAACTCAGCATGGGGTTCAGTGTCAGCTAAGTAGGAAATGTATGTTAGCATCATACTGCAACAATCTACTAGTGTCCCAAATGCTGCCTAATCAACCCCGGATCAGTTAGGCAGCCGCACCTGAATGGACAAGACGTGCCAGCGCCGGAGAGCCGAGCCAAGGACAACGGGGGTTTAGCTGCTGATCAACAGTTGTATGCTCTGGCAAAACAAATACAATGGAAGTGGCCCGAATATGGAGAGGACAAGTTCGTGATCATGTTCGGTGGACTTCATATAGAAATGGCTGCACTGAGATCGGAACATTACTACAGACAGTGGCTGGACCAGTGCCATTGTGGAAGCAGAGGTGGCCTCATCTGGTACAGCAGAGTCTTACCTGTCTGCATCCAGTGTGACCAGGACAAGACAAGCACACCAGATCACTGCATGCAGCTTGTACAAACTGATGAAGAAGGCATACCATGATTACCGCTCTGAAGAGTCTAGCATATCAGTTATAACCTTTGAGGATTGGTGTAAACAACAGAGGAAAGAAAGTCCGCAGTTCCAGTTCTGGAGTCCAGTGCTGGACATGAGGCTCACCATATTCACCCTGATCCGCTCATTCAGAGAAGGCGACTTCAACTTGTACCGTGAAGCACTTTCAGAACTGGTGCCTTACTTCTTTGCGAATAACAATGTTAACTATGTGCGATGGATCCCAATTCACCTCCGAGATATGATGTCACTTGAGCAACAACATCCAGATGTGGCCAGGGAGTTTCACAAAGGGAACTTCGCCATACACAAGTCAAGAAGAGAATTCTCTGTCCTGGCGATCGAGGGGGCAGAAGACCCGTCAGCAATTCGTAGGTGGATGCTCGCTGGACCCGAAGTTAGTCGTCTAGTAGCTGGATACGAGGCCATGTCTGGTATGAAAGATGCTACCTACAGCAGCAGACACTGAGTGCCCAGAAATCTTTTTTTGAAAATGTGAAATCACTCTGCAGTGATGCAGATGGGCAACCCATTACAAGAAGAATCAGCCGACCTGCTGGTGCTAGACACGAAGAACATTGCAAACCCAACTCTAGCTGAAATGGTAGCTACACATCACCGGCGTAAAGAGCCGGCATAAGCGGGGCAAAGAGCAGTTCCAATCATTCATGAAGGGGCTAGAGGATAAAGGTGAGTCCTTTCTATCATCCAATCAAGAAAAACCTTGTTTCTTTCGTCAACCAAGAGCAGGCTGAGGGAATTTCTAAGGAGAAAGTCCTGAAAGACGACTGTCAGTTATTCTCGCGACTGTTCATCTCGTGCCCGAACAGGCAGTGTAACTTGCAAGAATTCTTCAAGCACGAGAATCAGTCACACCCTGCATCTCTTAGTAACAGCGGCAAGCTTCATACGTGTCAGAAGTCACAGCTGGTTGAAATTATTAAAGCGCAAGTGAACATCCCAGACAGAGAACCAAAGGGAGATGCATCACTTATCAATGCCTTACCTCCACGTACTTCAAAGACATTTGATGACTATGCTAAAGACATCATCCCAAAGGTGGGATCCTATGGTGCCAGGTACGAGCGGGTGGACGTAGTCTTTGATGTGTACAAGAAGTCAAGTCTGAAATCCGAGACGAGGTCAAAAAGGGGGCAAGGAATCAGAAGAAGAGTGACAGGAACGAGTAAGACACCAGGTAACTGGCAAAGCTTTCTTCGGGACGGCAGCAACAAGAATGAACTGTTTCACTTCCTTGCGGAAAAGATGTGTGAAGCAGAGACGACAAGCAGTCATCGTCACAAAAGGAGAAGACGCCATTGGCAACACAAGAAAGTCTCTGGATGCTGTGTCCCCATGTTGTCATGAAGAAGCTGGCAGTCGAATATTTGTACACGCCAGGGATGCAACGACTGATGGGAGCAAGTCTATTATCATTAAGACTAATGACACGGACGTGCTAGTCATAGACTCATAGCAATATCTGTACTGCCATCCTTACAGGAACTAGGTCTTGAGAAAATGTGGATTGCCTTTGGCCAAAGAGCCAAGATGCGATGGATTCCAGTCCATGAGGTAGTTTCTGCAATAGGGCTTGAGAAAGCTAGAGGGCACTGGCATGCGTTCACTGGATGTGACGTTGTGTATGCCTTCCGTGGGAAAGCGAAGAAATCTGCATGGCAGACTTGGAACGTATTTGATCATGTTTCTGAAACATTCACTAATCTCAGCCAGCATCCAACATTGATTCATGATCTTGACCTGCAGAGGCTGGAGAGATTCGTTGTCCTCGTGTACGACAGATCAAGCGCAGCCACTGGTGTGGACGAAGCATGATTAGATCTTCCCCACAAGCAGAGGCCGTACAACTCAATTCCACCAACACAGGCAGCCCTCAGAGAACATGCAAAGCGTGTGGCCTATCAGGCTGGGATCATCTGGAGCCAGGCAACCATCTCCAATCCAGACACGAGCAGTCCCGCTGAATGGGGGTGGACACAGAAAGAAGAGACATGGCAGATATGTTGGACAACACTACTCCCTATTGCAGCAAGCTGTCGGGAACTGACGAAGTGTTCCTGTAAGAAAGGTTGCAAAGAAAGATGCAAGTGCTTTCAGTCAGAGCTCCCCTGCACATCACTCTGCAGCTGCATATGTGAACAGTAGCAGCTGGAGGACCAGTGGCATGGCATGCATAACTTTGAACATTTACTAGCCAGGGCAAAGCTTACGTAATGAAAAACAGACAATCTGGTGGCCATCTTGAAAAATATGTGTCCGTGTGCTTTATAAACAGGAAAATCCACTTCACAAGGCTTGAAAACATATGAATCCACACCTAGATCATGCAAATCGGACAACAAATACTTCTAAGCAAAACGTCAACATCGGTCGGCAAATTTGGTGGCTATCTTGAAAAATGGCCGCCATCTTGGATTTTCAATTGGCAAATCGGGCAGATTTGATTAGTATCACTTGGAGAACAAGTGTGCCAAATTTGATGCTTGTATCATCATTTGCACGATTCATCTAAAAAAATTGCTGTTATCGCTATATGTACATGTGAAGATGTTGATTAATGGCTGTACAGTGGTTTGCTGAGTAAATAATTTAAAGGGATTGTTTACTCTAGGTTCTAGGGTTATTTTCAGTTAATTTAGGTTAAAATTACGCTACATAAAAAGTTTCATGGTTCAATCACCATTAGAAATATAATTAACAAATGTTTTAAAACTAACGATCACAGTTTGATTACAACGAAGGTGGCGCCACTCAAAGTGCAGCAGCACGATCTGATAAGTTGCGCAAAACCACTTTCCAGCCAAGGGCTACAGACCGAGGGTGTTTCTTATTTATTCATTTAAATGCAAAAGGATTGTAATATCTTATAAACGACATATAGTTTCAGTTATAATATGGATAAATTTGCCCTAAAATGAATATCGTTCGGTTAAATAGCATTTAGGTATAAATATAATTTCACTTTTGTGATTAGCCCTCGGTCTGTAACGTGCAAAATAAATTGTCAAATAGACAACTTTTTCGGGGTGGCAACACGGTCGCGGGTGTCATGCCGCCGTTCAAATTTCGTAGCGTTGATGTGTAATTAATTATAACAATTAAATTAAGTATCTGGTAACAAATACGTGTGGGTATAGACGATTTGTTATACAGTAAGTACAGTTGTATGCAGTAAAATCCTAGAGGCTACTGTCCCTTTAAATTAGGTATCTGGTAACAAATACGTGTGGGTATAGACGATTTGTTATACAGTAAGTACAGTTGTATGCAGTAAAATCCTAGAGGCTACTGTCCCATTAAGTAAAGCTCATTTAAAGATTTCCCCTCTGAGAAACACTTCACACGAGCATAGGCATCATCTATTTCACTAATTTCATCAATTTTAATAAACAATTTCATCGTTATCAGTGAGCCGCTGCACTTGCTTCATGTGAGCTGTCCAACGGATATTTATACCACCCGTTGCTCGCTTACCCCTATTTTCAGCGGGCGGGTGGGGGGTTACGGTCACTATAAATGTGTAGCCATCCTATAGACGTGCCCGTTAACACAGTTTGCACTGTAAATTTATATATATATATATATATATACGTTCAACAGATAACCAAGACTGTTACATACTGGAAAAAGTGGGTTAGAAAACACACAACTGCTTACAAAACAAATTAAGGCCATTTTGCTATACCCATTCATAGTAAATAATATGTAAAATGACTAAACTTGGTATAAATGCAATGGACGTTATTTGATGTTACTTTCTAAAGTTCTAAAGCAGGCACTTCTGAAGAGATACATCCTATACTTCACCCCTTCAATAATAAAATTTCTTCAATAGAAAGATTTTTTTGCCCAATAAGCAAATAGTAATCCACACTCATATCACAGAACGATAACTGTCTGGACTTTAGCACTGCAACCTAAGATTGTACAGATGTAATAAGATTGTAAGATGTACAGATACGGTATAAACAGGAACCTACACTCACTCGTTATCATTACATCTTGCATATAAAGCATAAAGTAAATACGTGGCACTAAAAGAGGCATCTAGTGGCACACCCAATTTACATTCCATTATTCCACAACCAACTCGCAACAGATAGTTGCGTTACTGAACAGAAGGCTAGTACATGTAGCACGGCCTGCAGTAGGTGTTTGAGCAGTTAGAAATTGTAACACACTAAATTAAATGATTCAATAAAACAATGTGAAGTTGTGAACACATATACACATTTCAGCCCATGTAATTGTTGTTTGTCAGTTTTGGTGGAAATATTGCAATCTCTAGAATATTAGCATATATATTTATTATGGAATAAATGTCTATGCGTGGAGTCATTTAGCAAATTTACAAAATCGCATATATATTACAGCTATCTGTAAACACACATAAAAACTAAATTTCTACGTACATGGTAAAATGCTACAAATGGTGTAACGACTCCACAATCACTGGATTTGGCTGCCGTGATGACATATATTTGTGAATTATAAATACATACACAAATTTGATAATTATATCAGTCTATGATTCAATACACAATTCCTGACAATGCAATACAAGTGCTACATATGGCAGGGCATTTTTTAGCAAGTGTCTTACACTTCACACTGGATATATAAGGTATTTCAGTTACTAAAACCAGGTGCATAAAACTTACAAGAAGAGTGATTCCATCTGTATTTACATGCATTGTGTATAGTTCTCGTCCTGTGTTCCGCATAAAAGAAATGGATGTGAGACAATTATGTATTTAAGGCCAATTATCTTTATCGTGATAGTCACATAAGGATTACAATGCCTAAAAATGAGAATGGTTGCCATTACATACTCATCTTCACTATGATTTATCCTTGAAGATTTACTCACTCATAGATGGAGAAATGTATTGCATTTATCTTTGCTTAAACGGGATATACTCACAATTTAAATTGTAATCATGCACACAACTGTGAAACATAAAACATCTCATAGTTTCACATTGAGCAAAAATACCGTTTCTCAGAGCTAACATTTAAACATGCACGTAGACATCATTAAATTTCCCACACACTGTCACACACCCCCACACACAATGAAAACACCTACAGACATGTTTCCTTGATTTCAAGTCCAATGTAAGATGCATACACTCAGTCCCATACCTGATCAACTCAGTACAGGATCATATCCGGATTGTTTGACGAAATATCCTCCCTTCTCCTTAGCATTGGCTGGAAATTGATCCCGGATAAGAAGACTAGAAGAATGTTGATGAGGAAACAGACCACTGGTACGATCGTCAGGTAGAAGGACCAGTCCAGCCACGTTTCATCCGCTGTGTAATACTCATAGTTGATGATCTTCTCTGGGAGATAGTTGACACTCAGGTATTTTTCGAATAGCCAGACGTACATTAACGTTGTTGTCAAAGAGAATGTGACTGTAACACAGAAATAAGTATAAAATTTTGCTGCGGTTCCAGAATGTATGTGGCTATCAACTTTGGCTTTTGAAGTTTTGGCAATAAGAGTGATAATAGCTTATATCTTGACTCACTTTTAAATGATTTGAAATTTTAGTTTACAAAGAATAGTACACAATATATCGATATTCCAGTAATTTTTATTTGCCTTAACTGTCTTTATAACTTGTATGATAGTCAGATACAACCATATAATGGAAACAGCAACTTCCAAAACATGACTGGCTTGTCATGTTGCAACTTTTTTTAGAATTATATATTTATTGCTCATTGGTTTAGAAATATATATTGCAGAAAAGAGAATGTAGAATGTAAATCTAACCCTTTTACAGTGAAATTTCTAGATAAATACAAAGGTTAATACTCACAGCCAAGTCCATTCCAGATAAATAAACCAAGAGGACCATTTATAGTTTCTATTGGTTTGGTGACGACATTGATCAGACCAAATATTGCACTGACCATTCCCAAAATAAGTGCTAGCGATGCAAAAATCATGAGGGAGACAAAAAGACCACGACTGAATAGGCCAACCTCTTGCGGATTCACACCTGAAGAAGATTAAATGTTCTACTTATTGTTGTTGTAATTAAAACACTAACTAAACATTACTTGCACATAATTATAAATAAGACATTAAAAAATGCTTTTTAAAAATGGTAATTTTTGAGGACGAAAACCTATATTTCTTGAGAAAATGGGCCGAAGGATAAATGATGCAGAGGCAAACCAAGCAATAGCAATTCAGTAGCGTGGCCCGTGGGTATCAGCCAGATTTTCGAGGCACCGTCGTACGTAACAAAGGTAACCACTGCACTTGCCTTCTGTATTGTGGTAAAACTTGGCATAATGTATATAAAGAAGAGGAATGCCCTGCACCAGGGCAAAAGACAAGTGACTTTTCTCTTATTTATAATTGTGCGGTAGTAGGGGCAATACCAACCATAATCGCAGGGCTGTAGTGGCCTCCCAAAATATGCTACTGCAGAATGAAAGTGTCAATGACACTGTAGCTCACCTTGGGTGTGATAGAAGAGGAAGGGGGGATATATAAAGCAAGAGTATATATATGGGAGAACTCCCATTATATAGCATATCTCCCATTATATACTCTTGATATTGATGATTATATGAATAATTTTTGAAGCGAAAATAAATGTTTCAGATCTGTTGGCAAACAATCTGATGGCGTTGACCGTAGGCAGACACTGAAATGCATAGTGAAATTGCCAAAATCTACCTAATTTGCATAATCAACAAAATAAATAAAAACCCGTGTGATATGTTTTGGGACCAGTCCTTATTCATTCACATACCAGAATTTAGCAAAATCCATTAAACCTGAACTGACTTATGGCCATTTCAATTTTTGCCAAAAAGTGGACGTCGCTCGAAAGTAGGTCGACTGGCGTGCCCCAAAATAGGACGTTCAAACCTCTCCCATAGGAGTAACAACTGTATGCAATTTGAAACATGTGGGTCAAACGGTTCTTGTGTTATCATTGACCGTAGGCAGACACTGAAATGCATCTAGGGAATTGCCAAAATCTACCTAATTTGCATAATTTTAAAAAATATATCAAAAACTGTATGATATGTTTTGGGGCTAGTTCTTATTCATTCACATACCAGAAATGAGCAAAATCCGTTGAACCTGAACTGACTTATGGCCATTTCCATTTTTGCGAAAAATTGGACGTGGCTCGAAAGTAGGTCGACTGGCGTGCTCCAAAATAGACGTTCAAACCTCTCCCATAGGAGTAACAACTATATGCAATTTGAAACATGTGGGTCAAACGGTTCCTGAGTTGACCGTAGCCAAATGTTGACGGATGGACGAACAGACGAACGGATGGACGTACGTCGAACGACACCCCATGGCAATAGCTCATCTTGACGACGTCAAGGCGAGCTAAAAATGTAGGATCACCCAGTAATAATAGCATAAGTGGCGGTCATGGTGTGTGCTGGCACACACGGCACACGCCGCAGTCGCGAAACCCATGCGGGGAGTCTGGGGGCCCTCCCCCAAATTTTTTTGAACTTTAGAGCCTGGAAATGGCATTTCCTGCATTTTCAGGCTAAGTTGAAAGCAACCAATTCTGGTCATTTTAAAAGGTAAATTTGTAAATTTCAAAAAGGAATGCAGCTAAAGCTGATGTTTTGACTAAAGTATCTAAAATATATATTATGGGTATGGTTCTAATAAAACATTGTTAACAAAATTGTATATACTATTCAGTATAATTATGAAAAATAAGCCTATTCTCAATCTGCATTTATACTTTCACTATGTACATCTGTATGTTTTGAAGTTTGAATTTGAATCACAATACCTTATATATGCACATTGTAATATTAAAATAAATACACATTCCAAATCTTAGAGCACTGATATAACACCTCTAATTGATCAGTATTAAAGGCATAAGATGACCATTGATTATGCAATTTTAACGAATGCTACAGTAACTGGCACCTTGTGTAGTTAATAAGTACATTACCTTATAGCCAAACGCGTATTAGTTTGTCCAATATCACTGCTGGTTACTAAGAAATATCCAATTGAAATCCGCGGTCAAATAAATCCGTTGTTGACAGTTTCGACCCGCTATGCCGGCTATTACCGGCCGTAACCGGCGAGGCGGTGTCATACAGATTATAGTGCACCGGACATTTTCGCACGTATGCTCGGCCGTCAGTGATTTCGATCCTTGTAGTCTGAGTGCGCATTCCGTACGTTATGGTTTTACTCTTGGGATTCGGGAATAAATGAATAATTTTGAATAATCCTGTAGCAACATGTGAGGTCACCGAACCGAAATCCTTGCTTATTTTGTTGGCAATAAATTTAGCGTTGGCACCAGATTACCAAATTTACGGATTTCAATTAGACATTTCTTAGTAATTAGCAGTGATATTGGACAAACTAATACGCGTTTGGCTATAACTTATAAGGTAATGTACTTATTAACTACACAAGGTGCCAGTTACTGTAGCATTCGTCAACTTTGCATAATCGATGGAAATATTATGCCTTTAATAGTAATACCAGACAGTCCAGTCAGATAACAGTCAGCTCCTTGGTTCCCTGCACAATTTTTTTGTCAAAATAGTGCCGCGGCAGTGCCGTCCTGCCGTGGCAGCCATTACGGCACTGTAATTGAGACAATATTTTGCCAATGCGAGTTTAATATTATGGGTATATTAGGTGTGAGTTTCGGGAGGTCCAAATTTTCAAAAAACAAGAGCCGCAGAGCGTCTGGGCTCATCTGAGGTCTGTTGCTACGATTATAAACGTAAAATTTCAGTCGTGCGTAGTACCACATTTGTTAGGCGCAGATATGCAGACACGGCAGTTGCGTACACATCATTGTTAGGACACACCACTATCGCAGATGGAGGGTGGGGGAGGGGGTGGGGGAGGGTGGGGAAGGGGGAAAGGGGGAGGGTGGGGGAGGGGCTCTAATAGCAAAAGCAGTTCACCATCTTTGTTAACAGTCAACAAATCCATGTTTAACCCTCCTCTTGAGGGTCAAAAGGTTATCCGACACTTACTCTTCGCATGTCAGCAGAAGGGACTTTCATGGTCCTTTCAATAAAGCCATAAAAATGCTAGGTCACCGCTGAAACAAAAAAGCTTTCCAATCGTCCGTCAGACCATGTCCTCAGAAAATGTCTAAAATCTGCCCTGTGCCCATTGACCTTTGACCTGTGACCTCCAATTTCGGCACAGTGATGGCTTTTTCCTACATGATGCTATACACGACTATCACGACCTAGGTGGCGAGCCGTTTAGATTTGTGCCGCAATTCTGCATTTCTCCCTATACCTTAAGTTAAGGAGTGAATGTTCCCCCTTCTTTTACACTTGTTCTTGACCTTTGACCTTTGACCCCCAGCTTCGACATCCCAACTCGTTTTGACAATCCCCCCCAACGACCCGAATATCGTGACCGTACGTCGAGCGGTTAAGATTTGTGCCCAACTGTTGACGGACGGACGGACGCACGGACGGACGACCGGACGGACGGACGGACGATCATGCGATTCTACAAGCTGCATCTGACTATGTCAGATGAGCTAATGAACAGTTAGTATACGTACCCTTGTCTTCCATTGCTTTCAAGGCACCATTTAAATCATTTTCCTCATATTCATATATGCAATAGCCACTGCCACAGGTTACTAAATCAAAGAAATGACAAGTGAATCTATTACAGAATATCTATAAATATATGAACCATTATCTTCGTACCTAAGCAAGTCTAAAATTATACTTGATTGGGTATCAGGCAGTAAAGTCAACTATTACTATTAAGTATTAGTACGGTATTACACTTACAGAAGAGCAGTATTACTCAGAAATTTTGGGGATCGTGGGTATATTTGCTATATAGTTTATAGTATGTACAATACACCCGTTGACAGTTTAACACTGCGCATGCGCTTAAGCCTATGGTCAAAGGTCGGGAGGAGTTTCCGTCCCAGAATTGCGAGTAAAATTCTTTACTCGTGTGAAACGTGTAGTGTGAAGGGCTGTTCAAACGGACCGTATTGGCGTAAGAAAGACTTTTAGAGCATGAATTGACCATAATTTAAATGTATCAAGTGTCATGTCACTCAGGTCATCCATTATCGGTGCTCTATTCCCTGCTACGTGCACTGTTCTTTGACACAAAGGTGAGCGACCTGCGTATGCAAGGTAGACAACGCATCGAGATAAACAACATGGCAGAGTTTACTCGCACATCCGGGCTCTCGCGGAGATGCAAAACTACTGGCGCAGAACATAGGCGCAGAACTGTCAATCGGTGTATGTTATGTTAGACCACAATGGAAATAAGTGTGTTAGCCACGCTTTTTGTGTTTTCATCCTCGATAATTTTCTAGCTGCATTCTGTTTATTTATGCTGTTATCGATGTAATGTATGCTTTGTTAATTATCGAAATAAAAAAAATAAAACATGATAACACACAAACTGCATGCAGTGCCCCCATCACACACTCAGGATACCACTGCCACAATGCTAGCACTATTTTTAAAGTTGGCGGTGCTCGGGGGGAAATCCAGCGAATGGAGATTCGTAAACAGCGTATGATTTGAAAGAGGTGAATGGGCGCACAATCCGCGTACTATTTCCTATCACTATTTTATAAAAAAAAATTTGAAATAACGGTCAGATTTTTAATATCTTTGCAACTTTATTAGTCCACATCTTATTACATAGGATACGAGTAACGTGGCTGCTGTAAAACTTGTAGTAAAAAAGCGTTACAAATTGTAACCGAAATCTGCTTGTGGCAGTGGTAGATTGAGCCCATGAGCGAAAGCGCCATCTGACATGGAGTTTGGATAACACATTGTCAGACATTGTTCTTCTACTGGTGCACGACCTTAAAAAATGCATGAAAATTGAAGATTGAAATCTGTCTCTTCAATATATACTTTATTTACTTGTTATAAGAAATAAACTTTACTATCAGGAACACACGAGTTCCTCATGTCACGCCCTCCTGATTTCGTTACTTAGTAACTTAGTTACTTACTATTAAGTTGAACATGTTTAGGTTGCAGAGGACTGCGTGTCAAAGTCCCAACTGCACGAAACAATCCTAGCCGCATGGCTCCTTTTTCTTTCTCGACAGGTGGATCGCCAGTAGCATTACCATTAGTCGACGTAGTGTTTGGACTAGTGATTTCAATTCGTTCTGGCTTTGAAGTTATCCAGTTTTCCGTGCCTATTGCGGTTGCTAGCACCGCTACCGCTACCAGAGACAATATTATAGTTGTAAAGATACACGCACGCTGCTTCTTACGACTCGTTACTGCCATCTTCACTTTTGCGACTTGGATATATGGACTGACGGTGGTGGGTGCCTGAAATACATTCTTCTCTGTGGACTTTCTTCTCTTTCGCGATCTAGGCTGCCATCTACCGGACAGGTGCGAAACTACACTTATTGATACCAACCATAGAGTTGTATAAATAGTACTTATTTAGTATTATATATTAGTTATTATATTATTACACTGTTACACTATTATATTGAGAGAGATAGAGGGCGCTGAACACAGCAGTTGGATCAAGCCTGTGTTCCCGAATACATTTTAAATTTTTGGTGCTAACTTACTATTATTTCCGGACTACTGGTGTTATAGACAAAGTTCATCTACTCAAGGTTACACTGGAACTAGAAAACAGCTACTAAAACAACTGGCAGAGCTGGTTTCCAGCCTTAGAAGTTAGAGACTGTACTCATCCGTTTGCTAGACGAAAACAAACATGGCCGCCACTACTGGAATTTGCTTAGGAGTCATCCTGCTGTTTGCTGTTCGGACCTTGCATAAAGCCGATGACCTACCTCCTACCAAGCAACAGATTAGATGTCTCAACGCTTTCTGTAATCTAAGTCGCATCTCCAAACCACCTGTGATGCATAAGCAGCCTAAGAAAAAAATTACTGCACTGTACATACTCTGCCTTCTACTGACATCAGGAGATGTTGAACCAAACCCTGGACCGCCTAACCAAGCTAACATTTTCCCTTGTGGATGTTGTGAGATACCTGTGTCATGGGAATGTAAAGCAGTAGCCTGTGACAATTGTTCGATATGGTACCATAAAACATGTATCGATCTATGCTCTAAAGATTTTGAAACATTAAACAGGTCACATGTACAAGGGGTCTGCTACAAGTGTGACAGCATGAACTGTGACTCTTTCACATTCAGAAGTTACGAACTCGACACATCAGACTACTACGAACCGCTCCAAGAAGCTGACTCCACAATTGACTCGCTGATTGCCGACTCCGTCTTCAAACACAGCCCGCTAAAAACCAGCAGTCCAGGCCCAAAACACACTCCTGGGCATGGCCCAAGGTCACAACACCACTTGTCGAAATCGTCAAGATTTGCTACCGATAGTTCTGCAGTCTACTGCCTACCACCCAAAACAAACCTGCAAATACTGACACTAAACTGTCGGAGTATTGTCCGAAAAGCAGCCGAGTTTGCTGCAGTACTAAGCTACGTAAAGCCTGATATAGTATGCGGAACAGAGTCCTGGTTAAATAGTAATATCAAATCAAGCAAGGTTTTCCCACCATCGTATACAGTATACCGAAATGATCGCAGCTCGATCGGTGGAGGAGTATTCATACTTGTACATGAATCCTTAATTTCTACCCACCTACCGGACTTGATCACGAAGTGTGAATCAGCATGGGTTAAGGTCAAAACCCACGCAAAGGACCTCATTGTTGGTACATTTTACATGCCACACCGAGATGAAACCCACCTGCTAGAACTAGAAAAATCTCTGGACAAGATAAAGCAGGAACCAAACCAGAAACATGCCGTATTAACTGGCGACTTTAACTGCCCAAATATTCACTGGGAATCCACTTCAGTACGCTCTGGAGCGCCTGACCGTAACATCCAACAAATGCTAGTGGATATCACTGCAGATGCTAAGCTCACTCAGATCCACGAGGAAAACACCAGAGAAGAAAATATTCTCGATCTTGTCTTCACAAACAACCCCACCCTCATAAAGAACTCAAACTCGGCACCTGGTATATCGGATCACGACATGATTGTCACTGACATGGATATAAAACCACGTCATATAAAACAAAAACCGCAGAGTCGCCTGCAGTACTCGCGTGCAGATTGGGATAAATTCAAGTCCGACCTGGACAACCTAGCCACGAGGATAGACCAGCTCTACTCAAATGGTGCCGATGTCTATAAATTATGGGAAACTTTTAAATCAACTATAATGTCAGCTATCGTAAAGCACATACCATCAAAATTGGTGAAAAAAAACCACTCTCCACCATGGCTCACGCATAAAGTTCGCAAACTGCTACGCCGGAAGCGTCGCCTACATTCAAAGACCAAGGGAACAGGAAATTGGAAAAACTATTACCAGCTCCAGAAAGAATGCAAGCGCAAACTCCGCAGAGCTGAATGGGAACATGTAAACAAAACAATCCAGACCGGCTTCGAAAACAAAAATACCAAACCATTTTGGAAATACATTAGATCAAAAAAACAAGACAGCGTGGGTGTCGCACCACTAAAAGATGGGTGTGATCTTGTAAGCGGCAGCCTACAAAAGGCCAGGCTCCTTCTGAAGCAGTTCGAGTCCGTCTTTAATACTGATGACACCGCCAACATCTCAAACATGGAAGGTCCAGAATATCCAACCATGGACACCATTGCTATCACATTAAATGGAGTCATAAAACTGCTTAGAAACCTAAATCCTTCCAAAGCCACTGGCCCAGATGGCATCCCCATCATGGTGTTAAAGGTATGTGCAGAAAACGTGGCTCCAGCTTTATGTAACATCTATCAGAAGTCTCTTGACACAGGTGAATTACCTCTAGACTGGAGAACAGCAAATGTCGCCAGCATCTTTAAGAAAGGTGACCGTCACCTAGCTGAGAACTATCGCCCGATATCGTTAACGTCAGTCCCATGCAAAATCCTTGAACACATCATCAGCCACCACATGCGACAGCATCTCCAGCATCACCGCATACTGACTGACCTAAACCATGGGTTCCGTTCCGGTTTCTCCTGTGAGTCACAGCTGTTGACAACAACCAATGACATACTCACAGATTTCGACAATGGAGCTCAAGTGGACATTGCTGTTCTCGACTTCAGCAAGGCATTTGACACCGTACCCCATCGCCAATTACTGGCCAAAGTCAATCGGTACGGTGTCAGAGGCCCCACACACCAGTGGCTATCAAACTTTCTAATGGACCGGACTATGAGAGTAGTACTTAATGGAGAAGTATCCGAGGAAGTACATGTGAAATCAGGAGTGCCCCAGGGCACGGTACTGGGCCCATTGCTTTTCCTCTGTCAGATAAACGACCTACCACTGAGCGTAAACTCCCAAGTCCGTTTATTTGCCGATGATTGTCTCCTCTATCGCACAATCGGAAACATCACAGACCATATGAAATTGCAGGATGACCTCACATCCCTGGAATGCTGGGCAAAAAATGGGGGGATGCAGTTCAATGCAAAGAAGTGTCATATCCTGAGCATTAGGAACAAGTCTCAGTATATGTACAGCCTCTGTGGCGAAATACTCAAGACTGTGGAGACCAATCCATACCTAGGTGTTCAACTGGCCAATGACCTCAAATGGTACCACCACATCTCAAGCACTACCAAGAAAGCATCATCTACTCTGGGCTTCCTGCGGAGAAACTTACGCAGGTGCCCACAGCAAACTAAACGCATTGCATATATTAGCCTAGTGCGACCCATAATGGAATATGGTGCAACAATATGGGACCCAAACCAACGCCAAGATATAGACCGACTGGAAAAAATACAACACCGTGCAGCCCGCTTCATCACTGGAGACTACCACAGCAGAACGCCAGGCTGTGTTACATCCATGCTATCGTCCCTACATCTGGAAAGCCTCCAAAACCGCCGTCGTGATATGCGACTAACCTATCTCTACAGAATCATCAGTGGGCTGGTACCAGCAATGCCCCCGTCAGATTTTCTAATACCAGTTCAAACCGGCAAAAGACGAGTGAGACCACCTAACAGATACAACAAGGAGGAGTTCATCAGTGCTCCCATCAACGAACGTTCCATCCGTCTGAACTCAAAAGGATTCAACGTACCAGCGTACAAAACTGACCAGTACAAGAATTCCTTCTTTGTCCGCACAGTGATACAGTGGAACCACCTGGGTGACCACATAGTAACTGCGGACAGTGCTGAGCAATTTACATCTATGCTCAGCCAACATCAATTCTAAAATAATTAGCCCTCTCCCGATTCCGTTGCCTCGATGCCAATTTTGGATACTGCAACGTATTACAACAGAAACAGAAACAGATAAGTGTCGCACGCTGGTGAAAGAAGGCATCATTGATGTTATGTTTATTATGCATTTAGCGAGACCAGCTCCAGCAGGTGCTGCCACCTATCGGGGCACACCGCCAAACATGTCAACCATCCTGTAGTGTCTATTTTGTCATCGGAATAAAGCATCTTATTGTTACTCAATACTTGGCTCAAACATATCATCTGGCGACGAGGATAACTATGAAGACCCAGCGCACGCAATAAACCAGCCTGGAGAATTTTTCAAGGTACAGCTCAGCCTTGTGGAGCCATTTAATGAGATGCCATAAAGCGCATGGCGAATTCCTTTGTTCTGTTTGGAGGAGTGTAGTGGAGGTAGTGGAGCCGCTGTTGTACTCACGTGACTGCTATGTCCGATGAGTCTGTTGCTGTACCCGATGCTACAGTAATTGCTGAAGCCTCAACCACCACTCCCGCTGATCCAACGATAATGGCGCTGCCAGCATTCCCCGCATTGGTGAATCTCGACTCAAATATTGGCCCCAGATGGGAAAAATGGCTGACACGCTTTGAGAGACTGATGACTGCCATGGCTATTACCGATGTCACCCGGAAACGCGCAATGTTGCTACATTATGCAGGAACGGATGTCGACGAGATATTCGACACATTGACAATCGAGGAGGCTACGGGCGATGCCACTGAATACGAGTGTCGCCACAGCGCGCCTCAATGCGTACTTCACGCCGAAGGCTAACACAGCTTTTGAAGTATACAACTTTCGCCCAGGCAACGCAGAAGGTGGCGAAACATGGATGCTGTTCGCGACACGGCCTTCGTCAACTTGCTAAGTCGTTGTGGTTTTGCCGACGACAAGATTGAAATCGCCAACCAAATCATTTTTTTGTGCCAAGTCCCAGCAGTCTCCGCCGCAGAGCACTAAGAGACAATCTGAACCTGACGCATCTATAAAATTGGCACGCTCACTAGAGATCAGTGAAACGCAAGCTAAAACCGTGGAGGCCAGCAAATTCGGACACGGGTAATTTTATGAAGGACCAGCATCAATCTCGTGACAAGCGGCAACAACTCACGTGGAAGGACACGCTCCAACTCGCAGTCCTATCGACGCTCGCAGTCCAGCCACGCCGCCAATGGAGGTCCCAATCACGCCGACGCCCCGACAATGGTAGCAGACGACGCAACACACCGGCAAGTGTTACTATTGTGGCTACAACCCTGCCCCACCTGAACTCGCCTGCTAGTGGAAAGACATGTGGCAAATGCGGAGAAACGCGATCATTTTGCTCAGCGTTTTGCAAATCGAGTAGCTCCAATATTGGACAACCCGTCGCACCACCAAGCAAATGTTGGTCAGCAATGTGCAGCAACTACGAGAAGATCCTGCATGATGAGAGAGAAACATTTGGACCGCTACAACACGAAACTCGTCCAGACGCCTGCCCATCTTGCTCAGGTTAAGATTGCGCCACAGCAATTCCAGTTCAAAATGACCATCGATTCAGGCCGCATCCGTCAATATCTCGATCAAGCACGTATGACGCTTTCCTGAACGCCCACCACTCGAGTCACCATCATCGCGAATCTACTCGTTATGGTTCCAGCAGGCCTTTGCCAGTCCTCGTGTGGGTCATCAAGCCGTAAGTTACGACTCCAAGAAGCTTGCACAATAAAACTACACGTTGTCAGGGCTCCGGAGGTAACCTACTAGGATGCGTACAGCTCAAGACCTTGGGATCCTACTGCTCGCTAACGCCAGTCCAAGAGATCTAAGTCGTCTACTGTACCATCCCACCCCCACTGCCAGACAGTTCCCACAACTTTTTGATTGGCATCCGGCAAAATCAAGGACAAGATGGCTGAGATTGCACATCGACGAAGATGTCCGCCCCGAAGCCAGCAGCCACACCGACGGTGCCATTCCATGTTCGAAAAGATGTCGAAGCAACACGCATCGACTGGAGGCCCAGATA